GGCATCGAGCTTCTGACTGCCGCCGCCCTAAAAAGAATCATGGTAGTACAAGTAAGAAGACCACCAATCAGGCCAATGTAACAGAATTGGATTACATCTCTGACGGAGTGAATGTCATCAACCTTTCTGCTGTGGTGTCTGAGGCTAACTTGGTTGGAAATCCCAAAGAGTGGTGGGTTGACACTGGAGCAACTCGTCACATATGTGCGGACAAGAAGATGTTCACTACCTACAATGAGGCTGCAAATGGTGAACAACTTTTCATGGGAAATTCTTCTACTTCTGCTGTGGCTGGACAAGGGAAAGTAATCTTGAAGATGACATCAGGGAAAGAACTGACCCTCAACAACGTACTACATGTACCGCAGGAAAGGATGATAATACAACTCGAACAGTCACCATTATTGTTGTTTCGGTTATTTCTTTTGTGATAGTACTTATTGTATGCATTTGCATCTTCTTAAGAAAGAGAAAGCAGAGGAAGCCAAAGAAGAATGTTGAAAGTAAGTTTAAGATAGTTTTATTTAGATCTCTATGTGGACTTTAATACAATTTTGTTTCAATTGAAACCATTAACAAATCAAAAAAAGAAAGTAGAACAACTCTAAATGATGTCAATTATCTCAGTATGTTCTTGCCAAAAATAAATCTTGGAGAGGAAATTAAAAGATACCTTCTTAATGTGCCTGTGGAAAATTTTAGAATGCTAATTCGGTATACCATGTAAGATGGCTAACGTCATGATTTAAAGGAAGTTATCGACATTACTGAAAGATCCATATTTTCATTTATAACTTTTATTGACATAATTATTAACTTGTTTCAGTTTGTAAGGATATGGATGAAATTAGCACAGTGGAATCCTTGCAATACGACTTTGAGACTATTAGTGTTGCAACAAATAACTTCTCTGATGCTAATAAGCTCGGACAAGGTGGATTTGGTGTTGTTTACTGGGTAATTAAATATTCAATTACGAATATGATGGATCCTTCATGTTTAAAATTAAATTTTATATTTGCTAAAAATAGTTTAATTTGTTTAACATGAATTTTGTTCATCTTCAGGGTAGGCTTCCAAACAGACAAGAAATAGCTGTGAAAAGGCTATCTAGTGATTCTGGACAAGGAGAACTAGAATTTAAGAATGAGGTTATGCTAGTTGCCAAGCTTCAACACAGGAATTTGGTTAGACTATTGGGATTCTGCCTTGAAGGAATAGAAAGAATTCTTATTTACGAGTTTGTGACCAATTCGAGCCTCAATAACTTCATATTCGGTATGATTGTTGTGTTGTTTTCCTATACATTGCATTGTTATCAACTTCATCTTGACGTACCTAAAATATGCATTGTCATCGCTTTGCATCGAAGAGGGGACACTACAGTGAAAATATATCTTGATCCAAATATCATTTCATCATATGATAAAGCCTAAAACTAGAATCCTTGAAGTACATTTTTAGATGATTTAATCCATTTTGAGTTTTGGTTCAACCTTCTACATGAATAAACCTGTAGATCCCATTAATCGTATACAATTGGATTGGGATATGCGTTACAAGATCATAAGAGGCATTTCTCGTGGACTTCTATATCTTCACAAAGATTCACGACTTCGAATTATTCATTGTGATCTCAAAGCTAGCAATGTTTTGTTAGATGCACAGATGAACCCCAAAATTTCAGATTTTGGCATGGCAAGATTGTTTGTATTAGATGAAACTCAAGGAAATACAAGCAGAATCGTGGGAACCTAGTAAGTGCTAAATTTTTCCCTGCATCATATGATCAAAATCAACATTCTATAATTTTTCATTATGGTTTTGGTTCATATGCCGATAATTGTTTTGGTACACAAAATATGCTTTGAATAAGAAAAAAAATTTTAACAAACCATTTTTGTTGTAATCATTAAGAATTGGTAACTATAGAGATAAGGTTATAAAAGAGAGTTGGTTTCAATCAATACAATAATGACATGTCGTTTAATATACATCTTTTGATATAAAAGTTTAGTCATTGCATTACTCTAATCTTTTATTGCCTCTAATATATTAAACATTACAGCGGATATATGGCTCCAGAGTATGCAATGCATGGCCAATTTTCAGTCAAATCAGATGTGTTTAGTTTCGGTGTCTTAGTTTTGGAAATTGTGAGTGGTCAAAAGAATAATTGCTTCCAAAATGGGGACAATGTTGAGGACCTCTTAAGTTATGTAAGTATGAATTAATATCAATGACAACTTACAAGTCCCATCCAATTTTACAGTCCCTAAAAGCTTATTGCACATATTGATTCTTTTAGGCTTGGAAAACTTGGCGAGAAGGAACAATATCAAATTTGATAGACCCTGCATTAAGGGATGGTTCAGGTTCGATACGTGAAATAATGAGATGCATTCATATTGGGTTGCTATGTGCACAAGAAAATGTAGTTGTAAGACCAACCATGGCTTCCGTTGTTGTCATGCTTAATAGCTTTTCTCTTACTCTTTCATTACCTTTAGAACCAACATCTTTTCCGCTTAGTACCATCAATTCAGAGATACCATTACTCCAAGAGAATAATTATGTGGTATCTGAGTTCAGTCAATCAAAAAGTAAATCCACCCATATGTCAGTCAATGAAGCTTCAATTACTGAGTTATATCCTCGATAGATTTTGAGGTTAAGATTGAAGTGACAAATATATTTGTATGATTTTTTTTGTTTTCTATTCTTTCTCTTTTGAATTTCTTTATTTTAATGGAATAATGTTTGAGCTTAAGACATTACAAAGGATTGTACTTTTATCGTTACAGGTGTAGGACTGGGATGAGTTGCCTCGTAAAAAACATGTTATCTATTCTTTAAGATATTGGATATAGTGATTCCATTCTAATCCCAACTCTACAATAAGTATATTTGTAAGAATTTTTATTTGCTCTACAAGTAGAAAATTGAATTATTCAAACCACCATAATTCCTTATTTATCACATTTTGGTTGTGAAGATGATAAGCAATGAAGTAACATTTAATGACTAATATTGTATTTAATAGGCTGTGCTGGGATTGTTTTTCCAAATAGTTTTCCATGTACTGTTTTTGTGTTTTACTTGATTATTGCATATTGTGTAGATGACATATGCCAGATTGAGTTATTAGATTTGGAAAACTCAATAGGTACATTGAATTAAGTTTTTGGCTCCATTACCTCCTTTGTGCACAAACATGGTTTTCAACTTCAGATCGTTCGCCTGAAAGTTGATTTGGCAAATCTCCAATCGCAATCGTTTTCTGATAAAAATTCTAAATTTCAATATCAGATCAAATCAAAATTGGAAGATTTTCTTGCAAGAGAAAAAAATGTACCTACATCATAGGTCCAGGGTTAGATGGTTAAATTATGGGGATAAAAACTCCAGTTTCTTTCATGCCACCATGATTCAACATCGTCAGAGAAATCAAATCCTTCGACTACAAGATGAGAATGGAGGTTGGATGGATTCAGAATTAGAGATAAATTTCCACTTGCTTGAGTGTTTCTCCCAATGGTTTTCAAGTGAAGGGGATAGAAAGTTTAGTGAAGCCCTCTCTATGGTTCAGCCACTTGTGATAGAAGCGATGAATCGTCAGTTGACCCTTTCAATTTGTGATGAAGAAGTTCAAACTGCTGTTTTCCAACTAGGTGCTATTAAATCACCGAGGCTGAATGGTTTTCCTTGGTTCTTTTACCAAACCTATTGGGATGTGGTGAGCAACCAGGTTTGTCAAGCTGTTCAAAGCTTTTTTGTGGGAGGGCACATGCTTAAAGAGCTTAATAAAATGAATTTGGTATTGATTCCAAAGGTTGGTAACCCTTCAAAGTTATCACATTTCCGCCCAATTAGTCTTTGTAATTTTAGGCCCCGTTTGTTTGGGGTTATAGGAAGAGGATTGGGACTACTAATACCTTGTTTGTTTTGAGAGATGGCATTGGGACTACTAATATATAAAAATAATTTAACAATTTCTTACTATTAATCCCCTCACTATTAATCCCCTCACTATCAATCCTCTCACTATTAATCCCCTCCATTCTATCTCTAAAAACAAACGGGGCCTTAGTGTTAAGATCATTACCAAAATTTTGGGTAATCGTCTGAAAAATGTCCTCGATCTCTTAATTTCTCAGAACCAGTCAGCTTTTGTTCCTGGGAGGATGATCCAAGATAATATCCTAGTAGCTCATGAAGCTTTTCACTCTTTGAAACATAAGAAGGTAGGGACTGTTGGTCACATGGCTATAAAGCTCGATTTCAATAAAGCTTATGATAGAATAAAATGGGATTTCTTGGTCGCGGTCTTGAAGAAGATTGGTTTTCACCTAATGTGAGTCCAATGGGTTATGGATTCTGTATCAACTATGAGCTTTTCAGTATGTGCTAACGCCGAGAAAAAGGCCTCTTTATTCCCACCCGTAGACGTCGCCAAGGGGATCCTGTATCTCCGTATCTCTTTATTTTGGTTATAGACGTACTCTCAAATCTTCTCTCTAAGAACCTTAGGGAAAAGGCAAATTTCTGGATTCAAGATTGCAAGGCAATGCGTCTATTTCTAAAGGTTGATGTCTCTGAATGTCAAAAAGTTTTGGAAATCTTGTCAACTTATTGTGAAGCATTAGGACAATTGATTAATTTTGATAAGTCAAGTGTATAATTCTCCTCCAACGTCCCCCCGAAGTTTGTGTAGTTCCATTTGTGCTCTATCTGGTCTAAAAGTTTCACACTCAAATGCAAAATACTTGGGGCTGCCCTCATTTTGGGGAAGGTCAAAGGCGGAGGCCTATGAGTTTCTCATTGAAAAAGTGCTGTCAAAACTTCAGGGTTGGAAGATGAAATTGCTCTCGCAAGCTGCAAGGGAAACTTTGATAAAGGTGGTAGTACAGATAATTCCCTCATATGCTATGGCTTGTTTTGCTTTCCCAAAAAGGTTCTGCACTAAATTGAATTCCTATATTTGTAGGTTTTGGTGGAGAGGAGATCTTGATGGTAGAGAGATCCACTGGGTTAGTTCGGATCAACTGGTGTTGTCAAAATTTCAAGGAGGGCAGAGATTTAGAGATTTTAATGAGTTCAATTTGGTGTTGCTAGCAAGACAAGGATGGAGGTTAATTAAATATCTAAATTCATTCATTGCTTAAATTTTGAAAGGCGTTTATTTTCCTTATTCTAGTTTTATGCACACAACCAACGGTCACTGAACTTCGTGGGCATAGGCAAGTATCACTGCAGGAATTTTCAGAATTAGCAACGTTTAAAAAACGCCACTATAAGTCTTCAAAACACCGTTAAAGGATAAAGACGGCATTTATAACTTTCGTCGCAGATACGATCGCCGTCTTAGGTATACGACGTTTATAAAACGTCGCTAATGACTTTAACCGGCATTTTTCAAAACGTCATAAATTCTCATACATTCCGTTATGTGAAACTGTCACAGTTAATGCTGACATCGTATGACGACATTTACCGACGTTTTTTTAAAAAAGCGCCATCTTTTCTCTTTTTTTTTTTTAAAAAAAAAAAACAATATAGCACTGCAATTTATATAAAAAGAAAATGTATAATTTCAATTGCACTAAATCTGCAAAGTAAAGCT